ATCAGTGAGAATACCAGAAGGTATCTATCAAAAGTCTTTGCACCAAGGTCCAATCCAGGGACATCTTAGATTCTGAGCTCCCTGCATAGTTCTCAGGTAGCTGGGTCCATTCAACAATGGAATGAAAGAACAATGAGAGAAGGGAGCGTCCAGATCTTTTGTCACTTGCATGTGAACTGATCAAGTAAGGTAGAACCTCAGATCGTTTAGTTTCCCACTGTCCTGAAGTCTTCCATGGTTACTGATCCAGAGGACACTCATAAGAGAGTTTGGATTGAGATAGACTTTGGGTTTTAAACCAATGGGGGAAAGGGGCGTTTTTTTACAACCTCTATACTCTTACTGTCATTTTCACTGCTACCGCCCAACCACTAGATGCCTCAAACTTTGAGTACAACTATATTCTGGCTGATTTAACATGGGAAACCATACTGACCTCAGAGAAAGAAAAAGGGAAGGAAAGTTAATTACTACTATTTCCTAATTATAAAGTATTGTGATTTTGCTTCTTCCCTGACTGCCCTATCAAATGTAGTCAGTCATTAGTAGAGATGTTTTTATTCTTGGAAAGAAATTTATCAGAAATCCAAAAAGCAAATTAAAACAACTGTGAAAGGCCCAGCCAGTGACCTGGTGGTTAAGGGGGCTGGATTCCACATGGCTAACTGTGAGGTTCAAGTCCCAAACCTGGTGACTTGAAAAACATGCCAGACACATGTGAGTATGTGCCCAAAATTCTGAGAAGGAAATGGAGAAGAAATTCTGAGAGGAAAATGGAGGAGAATAAATTGTGGTGAGGCCATCCCCTCTAGGGGATGATTTCTCACTCTCTCACTCTCTCATTTTCTCTCTCTGTTTCTGATGAGTGCATGCACCCTATACAAAAACAAAAACAAAAATAAAAACAACCAACACCTATGAGATGCTATGAACAAATTAGGAGACTTTTCAACATGATGACACTCAGTATAGAGGTGGGAGGTATCATAAATGATAGCTGAAAACAAAAGCTTCCAAGTTAGGCACACATGGATTTACCTACCATTGTCACAGGCTTCTAACTTGTTAAAGCTATTTATTCTCTCTAAGCTCATCTTTTGCATCTTTTAAAAGAGAAAATAAGACATTAGGCTGTCATGCAGAATTCATGAAATAAACGTGTAAGCTCTTAATCTATTGCTTGGTACAGTATGACAGAAAAAAATGTGGGAAATTTCGTGATGGATATCAAGAGCCTTACCCTTTGACTCATTAATTAATTTCTGGGGATCTTGTGTTTAACACATAGTTTTTCGATGCTTGGGAAATCTTAAATGAGTGCTGAAATACTGAAGGAATTAAATGCAAGGTGGAGTGGAGGAACTGAGGGAGGGAGCTTCCATCATGGGAATCTGATTGATGACATTTGAAGAAATAGAGTAAAGAACTGTAGAGGGTAGAATAGGATCTGCTGCCAAATTGCCTGGACTGCTTTAACATGACACTAAAATAAATTGTCTTCTTGTATGCTATTTCTAAATAATTGGTGGAGACTCCTTCAAATGTTGTTTTGAGAAAGATTCTGAAGTCACTGGTGGCACTATTGAAAATAATCGAATAGTCCACATGGATTTCCAAAGTAGTAAATAGCATATAGCTGTTTCTTCTTTCTCCTCACTTTGGTATTGTGGTAGCTATGATGTTCCTCAGCACTGTGTAGCATTTCTTCTGGCAACACACAGCTAAAATGGGGTTGTAAACAGAAGGGGCACAGAGCAGCTATTTAATGTGAATATGAGCTGGAAAAACATCTGCCTGCAGAGCTGAGTCAGATTTAGTATATAGAGTGTCCCATTCTCTCATATCTTTTTTCTTCTACTTATCCTTGCATTTACCATTGGAGAACATAGTAGGGCATACTCTAAGAAACAGATACTGTAAGCAGCTGGTAATGGCTTCATGGAAAAAGTATTATAGGGGAAGTTTGCAGAGGATGGGGAAAGAGAGAGACATGCATGGCCTGCAGTGAACCAGAAAAAACATCCAAGAACTGTATATGCTGCCATACAGTTAAAATATTCCTGTTTTTGGTGAGCAAGGTGTTCATCACCATGACCACCTTATCTAAATCAGTGAGAATACCAGAAGGTATCTATCAAAAGTCTTTGCACCAAGGTCCAATCCAGGGACATCTTAGATTCTGAGCTCCCTGCATAGTTCTCAGGTAGCTGGGTCCATTCAACAATGGAATGAAAGAACAATGAGAGAAGGGAGCGTCCAGATCTTTTGTCACTTGCATGTGAACTGATCAAGTAAGGTAGAACCTCAGATCGTTTAGTTTCCCACTGTCCTGAAGTCTTCCATGGTTACTGATCCAGAGGACACTCATAAGAGAGTTTGGATTGAGATAGACTTTGGGTTTTAAACCAATGGGGGAAAGGGGCGTTTTTTTACAACCTCTATACTCTTACTGTCATTTTCACTGCTACCGCCCAACCACTAGATGCCTCAAACTTTGAGTACAACTATATTCTGGCTGATTTAACATGGGAAACCATACTGACCTCAGAGAAAGAAAAAGGGAAGGAAAGTTAATTACTACTATTTCCTAATTATAAAGTATTGTGATTTTGCTTCTTCCCTGACTGCCCTATCAAATGTAGTCAGTCATTAGTAGAGATGTTTTTATTCTTGGAAAGAAATTTATCAGAAATCCAAAAAGCAAATTAAAACAACTGTGAAAGGGCCAGCCAGTGACCTGGTGGTTAAGGGGGCTGGATTCCACATGGCTAACTGTGAGGTTCAAGTCCCAAACCTGGTGACTTGAAAAACATGCCAGACACATGTGAGTATGTGCCCAAAATTCTGAGAAGGAAATGGAGAAGAAATTCTGAGAGGAAAATGGAGGAGAATAAATTGTGGTGAGGCCATCCCCTCTAGGGGATGATTTCTCACTCTCTCACTCTCTCATTTTCTCTCTCTGTTTCTGATGAGTGCATGCACCCTATACAAAAACAAAAACAAAAATAAAAACAACCAACACCTATGAGATGCTATGAACAAATTAGGAGACTTTTCAACATGATGACACTCAGTATAGAGGTGGGAGGTATCATAAATGATAGCTGAAAACAAAAGCTTCCAAGTTAGGCACACATGGATTTACCTACCATTGTCACAGGCTTCTAACTTTTTAAAGCTATTTATTCTCTCTAAGCTCATCTTTTGCATCTTTTAAAAGAGAAAATAAGACATTAGGCTGTCATGCAGAATTCATGAAATAAACGTGTAAGCTCTTAATCTATTGCTTGGTACAGTATGACAGAAAAAAATGTGGGAAATTTCGTGATGGATATCAAGAGCCTTACCCTTTGACTCATTAATTAATTTCTGGGGATCTAGCCTAAAGGAAAGAAAACATCTAAACAACTACAATCAATGATTCATGCAAGAATACACTCGTAACATAACTGATGTGTGAATCATGAGAAATATACTGTTGGTAGCAGTTGTTTGAGGACTGTTATTGTTTACAGGTGTAGAGAAATATCACAAACATTGTTGGAATGTGGGGATGTTTTTCCAGGTAAGAGGTTTATGTAACTGAACCAGTAACTTGCCCTACGACTGGGATCTGTATTAGGTATCTAACTCTACTTTTTTGGCCACCTAGGTGAAGAGTGAAATTCAGGCAGTCTCTCAAGCTAGTGTGTTCCCCTTGGGAGACCCCTGCCTTTCCTGCTTAAGTGGCACTTATTGTAGGAGCAGGCTCCAAAAGGTTGAGCCTCAGTGTCCTGCAAAGTCAGCTATTCAAAGGCCTTGAAAGAAAATATATACTGGAAACATAATTATGTCTATGGCTATTTGAATACACTTACCAGAATAATCTCACTTAATTTTTGTTGAGATTAGTGTTTGGAACCTAAAAGTAACAAATGGTAAGGATGGAAAATAGGATGTGTTTGGATGAAGTTTGTGATATAAATCCCAAATGGCTTTCAAAATATAACACCTATTCATAATTTTTAAGGTATTCTAGGCTATTTCCTTATCTATTAAAAGTGACCCAGCACATGGGTCGACCAGTTGTGTATGTATTCATTTCTTCCTTTCTTGTAACCCCCTGGTGTAGATTCTACTCTAGTCATTCTCTAGTAAACTTGGATCTGATTTCCCCACAAATATGCAAAAATAATCTTCTTACTCTTATTTCTGATTCTATTATATGCACACAATATTTACCAAATTCAGTCCTTTTAGTCACTTTCCTCCCCGCATTACTGAAAATACTCTTACTAAGTTAAAAATATGCCTGGTGTCAGTTTACTGTTTCTGACTTTGAGTGAAAACTATTTAGTAAGCTACCAAGAGTCTCAATGTCTGTCACTATTGACCTTTCTAGCCTCACCTCCTCCTTGCTCCTTGGCCCTTCCTGCCCCTCTTACGATGTAGAAATGAGTAGTTCCATATAATTCCCTAGGGAATCTATTTACTAAATTTCTTCATGTCTTTGCACACACTGTGCTTTTCACTAGGGCACACTCATTCTGTCCTCCCCATATTCTCCCATACGAGCACCACCTTCTAGCTGAAACCTTTGCTTGTCTAGTTATTTTTTTCTGCCAGGCTCCCAAGGGAGCTGCTATCTATTTCTCTTCTAGCGCACTCCACACTGTGTAACAGCATTTTTTCGTGAGTATCTCTTTAAAGGCTTCCGATGAGTGAATATAATTATTTTTATATCTTTGGATCTGTAGCAAATGTTGCTGCTCTCCTCCCTCTCCATTTCTAGATTCTCAGATGGCCTTCTTTGCAGATAGCACTGTGATCCTTCAAACAGGAACGCAAAACAATCTTGTGAGTGTATCTGAGCAAAGCTGACATATTTTTTCTCTAAGATCTTGCAGCTGAATGTGGAATGATCCTGAAATTAAGGTCAGCTCCAGGTAGTTGTTTATATCAGCTGTCAGAATGCAGAATAAAAAATGGCTTTTATATGTTTGATTTTTATTGTTTTCCAGGGCAATGTCACTTTTTCCTGCTCCGAACCACAAATTGTTCCCATCACATTTGTCAACTCCAGCAGCAGTTATTTGCTGCTGCCCGGAACCCCCCAAATTGATGGGCTTTCAGTGAGTTTCCAGTTTCGAACATGGAACAAGGATGGTCTGCTTCTGTCCACAGAGCTGTCTGAGGGCTCGGGGACCCTGCGGCTGAGCCTGGAGGGCGGAATCCTGAGACTCATGATTCAGAAAGTGACAGACCTCGTAGCTGAAATCCTCACAGGTACCATCTGCTGATACCCTCTAAGTAGCAGTCTTATTTGGCCAAATCTACAAGGGCTGAGGTTCAGACTAAAATCCTAAACTATGTAGGAGCCAACTTTCTTGAATATGAACTAGTCTGGTATTCATAAATTTACTTCAGGTCTGAAGAGGAAACATTTTTACATCTTATTGAGAAAAGAATTCAGAATTAGCTGTGTGAGCTTTGGCAAGACCCATAATTTCCTTGTCCCTCAGCTGTACCATCAGACAACTGGGCATAAGAATTCCTGTCTAGGGGTATTTAGCATCGTATAGACCATTTATAGAGCACTGCTAGATTCCCAAGACATGACTTATATTACATGGGATCTTTGCTGTGCTCACTGAAGTAAGGTGTTATTTTCTACTTTGTAGATAAGGAAGTGAAGAGTTAAGGCAATTACTTCCTAAACCACATGTTCCTAAATGATGGAGCTGAGATTTCACACTGGATTTGCCTGACTTACAAATCAGGGGATTTCAAGAAATTCTGGGAAAATGAAATTAAAGTAGAGTTTATTTTGATACAGAAGGTTTTTAGTAAGCCATGTATATATATTTTTTATAATACTGAATTTACATGAACTTTTTGAAGACATCTTCTAGTAGTTTCATCTTAAATCACATTACCATGGGATTTTTTTTCACAGCCCCCAAAATCCAATTCAGATAAAAGTTAGTGAGTATTGTTGTTGGTTGTTTTCTTGTTATATGGCATGTATACCAGAGAGAGACAGAAAGGGAGAGTGAAAACTCATTCCCTGGCGGGATGACCACCTTGTAACACCTTCTCTTCCATTCTCTTCTCCAGATTTTGGGCATGCATACACGCACGTGCACACTCACACACACACACATGTTCACCATGTTTTTCAATCTGTTGGATTTTGATCTCCAACCATGTAGTTGGTCATATGAGATCCAACCACCTTAACCACCATACCATTTGGCTGGCCCCTAAATTCATGACTTTTTAAAATACATTTTTTAACATGTTTTGAAATGATTTAATTTGGGAAGTATCTGCTTTTATTGCAATACAGTATAGATTGTAATGAATAGCAATGCTGAACCAATATATGAAAGACATGGTTTTTAATACTCCATATCTTTCAGCTGTTGTTTCTTTAACATGGAAGAGTAGAAACATCTCCCTTCCCCATCTGCTATCTTGCTAACATCTGCTGTCTTTCAGGAAGTGCTGGACTAACTTAATTGATGAGTATTAGAGGTCGGGACACATGCTAGGCTCTGTCTGGGCTCAGGGCTGAGGCATGCTGATAGGTTAACAGATCCCTTGAGAAATCTTCTTGAATAAATAGTCTGAATCAAATTCCCCTCTGTTGTGTACCTAGACCAACATTTATGGATGATACTGCAGTGCATTTTTCTTTAAGTTAAATGTCTTTCTTTCTTCACTTTTTGTGACTTTTTTTTATCTAAATAGACTAGAGAAAAATTGGTTTAAATAGCAAAGGTTGTGACTTAATAGTCAAGATCTAGTCAGATCACAGGAAAGCCTCAAATGCCAACAAGTAAATAAAAAGGCCCATTGAATCCCGAGAGAACAGAAGGGCCTGGATTTAAGGGTCAGACAGACAAGCTCAAAATACCCCTTCTCCTTTCTGTTTCATGGACCTAAGTAAACTTCTTAATGTTTTCTCATATGTAAACTGGATCGCATTAGTTAACTATAGCTGTGTAACAAATTACATCAAAATTTAGTGGTTGAATCAATATTTATTATGTCTCAGTTTTGGTGGATCAGAGATTCAGGGACAATTTGGCCAGGTGACTCTGTATCAAGGTCTCTATAAGGTTTCAGTCAAGTTATTGGTGAAGCTGCAGTCACAAAAGGCTAATTAGGAAGAAATTCTGCTTTCCAGCTAACCCAGGTATAGGAAGATCTTTCAAGCTCATCCTCCTAGGCCTCTCCAGAAGCAACCAGGAGAAAATGAGAAAGAAGACCCAAGACCCAAGACACTATCTTTTTGTAACCTAATATTTAAAGTGATATGCCTTCACTTCTACTATATTCTGTTTATTCAGAAATGGGTAAATAAGTCCAGCCCATGATTGAGGAAAGGGGATTACACAAGGCATGAATATAAGCAAATGCAGATCATTGGAGATCATTGCGAGACTATGATGATGATTAAATGAGATAGTATATCTCAAATACTTAGCAGATTATAGAGAAACTTTTGTAAAATTTCATTTTCTTCATAATGACTGTAGAACTTAGCTAAATAGGGCTGTGTTCATAGACTTTAGCTAGGAGTGAATACATGCAGCCAGAGAACTTTTATAAAATTTATTCGATTTCCAGTAATGGAGATAAGTTAATCGCTTAGCATTGTATTTCTCGTGTTCACAGTTATAAAAGTTAAGCCTCAATCTTCCTTATTTGAAGAAGAAAAATGTGAGCTTGAACTGGGCTGTTTCCCTCTAATCGGTGAGATGTTTGAGTACAGAGGCTTGTAGGCCTCAGGTCAAAAATGCAGTTTTAATATAGTACAGGCCCTGGTGGCAGCTTGCTCCAAAGAATCCAGGTGCTGCCTGCATTATTAAGCACATGTCAGTCCATTAAAATGCGTTTATGACTGAGAGAGAGACTGGTAAAAGCTGCCACGTTACCTAGCTACCGAAGGGAGAAAGTCATCAGTTATTTCAGACCTGCCTCTCAAAAATTGAAACAAGTAAAAGGAAGTTTATAAAATGTGCAGTCTGAGTTCCTGAAGTCTGTCTCAGAAAATGTTTGCATAATTTTCTCTCCAAGGAGAATTTCCTGCATTTTGAGAACATTGAACTTCCTTTAATTTTCTTTGACATGAGTGAAGGTTTTATGTTTTCAGGCATTTTCCTACATAGGGTAGTTGGTGGGCAGGGGGCACACACATACAAAAAGTGTTGTTTTTTTTTTTGCCCAGACACAGTGATATGCTCTGCTGAAGTGCTAAGCTACCACAGCTAAGACCATGTGGGAGGCCAGAATTCGAGTCTAGATTCCACCTAAAGGCTGGGCACAGTGGAGTGTGCATATAATCCCTGGAATTTGAGGAGGCTGAAGCAGGAGGATCATAAACTCAAGGTGGATGTGGGCAACAGATTGAGACCTGCCAAAAAAAGAGCAAAGCATAGCAGTGTGCACCTGTACTCCCCAGGTGGGAGGCTGAGACAAGGAGATCACAATGTGGAAAGACTGTCTTAAAAGCAACAAACAAAAAACCATTCTCCATTTTTTCTTCCCTTATGTGACTGAGCAAGCTTGTTTTCAAAGTACTTGAGATTTTGTAGGCATTTTAAAATGAAAATTCCATATGATGACAAAAAATGTATTAACAATTGCCTCAATAACTTTTGAGGGTCAGTGGGACTCCCTCTGACACCTGATGCATCACATAAAAGAGAAGGTGACATGAAACTAGCAAAAGACATAATAGTTACAGCACTGGACTCCCACCTCTACTGTGGTTTGAGTCCTGGTCACAGCAGCTTAAAACTCATGCCAGGCACCTGTGCGTGTGTAGTCAAGATCCCAAGAGGAGAATGGAGGAGAAGGGATTGCTCTGCTGCCATCCCCCCAGGGGATGATTTTTTGCTTTCTGTCTCTCTTGTCTCTTTCTGTCTCTTTAGCCAGCCAGCACACAGGCCCTATAGCAAAAATCTCTCTAAACATTTTTTTAAAATATTCCTTCTGGAAAAAGAAATGTAATACACTGTAAAGTTATATATGATTCAGTGTAATATAAACAAGATTATGATGATAATGAATAAATAAATAAATAAAAATTAAAAATAAAACCAAAAAGAGAATGTACCACTACATTTTATCAATACTCTTGGAACCCACACAAAATTATCCAAGATTTATTTGAGACTATCCAGCATCTTGTATATAAAAGAAAGGTTAATTTCTGTGTAAAGGCAGCACATAGATGCCAGGCACCTTTACTTCTATTTCCAGAGTTTCATACAACGGCCATTGCTTTTAGGCGAGAGTGGGGTTTTATTTAGTGCTTTTGCATCGGAGATCAGAAAGAGAAGTACAAAGTAAATGTATCCTCAAAATAGAAAGCAGCCCGATTTAGTTGTTCCAAGGGATAAAGTTTCAGGAAGATGAAGGACTATCATGTAATCCCTTCCTTGTATTTTCTTTTTTTGTCATCTCCTTTTTTCAAAGCTTTGTATATGTGGATCTGAGGACATCATTTCACTGTAAATGATGTGGAGGTGGAACCAACAACCATTGCAGATATTTTGCTGGTCAGGCATTGGGCTAGGACCTTCTCAAATAGTACTGTAGGG